TAGACTCTCCTCATCAGCAATCAATCATATATCACCGGTAAATTGCCTAACGATTAGAGAACAGCAACTGTCAAACCGATTTTTAAAAAAGGAAACCAACTTGATATTGGAAATTTTTGCACTATCAGCCTAACATATCTGATTAGTAAGTTGATGGAATCCATTATATGTCATTCTATGATGAAGTTCCTTTATGAACATGAGATCATTCCGGTTGAGCAACAAGGATTTGTGCCCAAGCCATCGGTAGTTACCAATCTTCTCAGCTGCCTCAATGACTGGTCCAGAGAACAACGATAATCCTGTCGATGTAATTTATTTTGACTACGTCCAAGCATTTGATAAAGTCCCGACGCGTCGCCTATTGCACAAACTTGAGCATTTTGGAGTCACAGGTGGATTACTTAAGTGGATAGAAGGCTTTTTATCGTTTCGAACATTTAGAGTAAAAATTGATGGCTGCCTTAGTAATTCACGCAAGGCCCTAAGTCGGGTTGCACAAGGAACAGTTTTAGGCCGCTTACTATTCATAATTTATATCGCCGATCTTACCGTAGAACTTTTCAGTCCTTTTGCCCTATTCGCTGACGACTTGAAATTGTATAACACCTCGAAGAATAATAATGTTTTAAAGGCGGATTTAATAACACTTTATGCATGGGCGCAAAAATGGCTTATACCCTTCAATATCAAAAAATGTTGTGTACATCATCTAGACAGTATCAATCCCAAAATGCAATATAATCTTGGTGACCACGTGTTGCAGTATGTATAGTCGCAGATTGATTTGGGTGTCACCATTACAGAACATTGGTCCTGGTCTTCTCACATCTTATCTCCGGTCAAAAAAAGGTAAGTTCATTGGGTATTTGATAAGAAAAGCTTTCCCCTGTGCTTTCATCGAAATCATCGCACATTCAATCTGGGTTAGGCATAAACAGCTGCTGGTTCAACGTTGCATCACCCGTATCCTTTTTGGTTTTCATGGTCCTAGCTATGAAGATCGTCTTAAAATAATGAAAATACTGACAATTGAACACCGTAAAGTTAGAGATGTTATCACGACCTTTAAAATATCACAACTCGATTTAGCTATTCGTCATCTTTTTTCAACATCTGTTGATCCAAGAACACGAGGGCATAGACTAAAACTACGTAAATGTGCTTTCAAAACAAAAATGGGACAATTCTTCCTCCCGCAGTGGATTTTCGGTATTTGGAACTCTATATTTCCAAGTATAATCGAAAGCCCTTCTTTAATCAGTTTCAAGATAGCACTAGATAGCATTTTTAAATAAATAAATAAATAAATAAATAAATAAATAAATAAATAAAACTCTTGCATTGCTAATAAAATTCAAAAAGCGACTAGGTGGAGTTGAGCCGCACAAGAGGATCCGGGTAGAGTTGTTTAACTCGTAGGTGGCATTGCCACGTTATTCCAGCTTTTTTGATTTTTTTTAGCAATGCAACTTTTTGTTTGAGAGATAAGCAGAGGTATGTTGTGGTATCAATTAAATTTTAATACACAGAGTGTTTATAAAACAATCTGAAAGATTCCAATTTTGAAATATCGATTTTTAATTTTTTTCAAACAGAACACCTGTATCGGGGTGTCTCTTAAAAAGTAAAAAATCGCGCAATAACTATCACCTTTAAATATAGAAAATGCTTAACAAAAAAAAGAACACACATAGTTTTTTATAAGGTATGACTGATTTTTACACTTTTGACATTTTCAACCATTTATCAACCATTTTCGAAAATTAGCTAGACATTTTCCTGTAGAATTCGACATCCGGAAATCAGTTTCGGTCTCATTTCTTCGAAAATTTCTATCGTTGTACCAAAATCGTCAATTCAAATCTGGCAATTTTTACAGTCGCAGTAGCAAATAGTATAACAAGAAATTTACGATTGGTGCCTTTTTTACTTTTTTTTACGTCCTAGATTCTATTAATTTCCACTCCCACTCCATAGAAGAACATTATTAGCCCCGCCCACCCACCCTGTCTTCATTTCGGTGATTAATTTTATCCGGACTGATTGAAATGAATGATCATATACTCAGTAAAAATAAAATTAGTATTCAGAATGAGAAGACTGGGAGTGGGCGGGCTTAGTCCTTGACAAAATAAAACTGCTTTTGGCAAATGACATACCTTCCAAGAAAATGGAGGGCGGGAGGGCGGGGCTAGTCCTTGATAAGAAAAAACTGTTTTTGGCGAATGATATATTTTCCAAGAAAACAAGGGCGGGTGGGCGGGGCTATCATTTTATAAGGTATGACTGATTTTGACATCCAGAAATCATTTTCGGCCTCATTTCTTCGAAAATTTCTATCGTTCTACCAAAATCATCAGTTGAAATATAGAAATTTTTACAGTGGCAGCAGCAAATAGTATAACAAAAAATTTACGGTTGGCGCTTTTTTTTTACTCTTTTTACATCCTAGATTCTATTAATTTCCACTCCCACTCCATAGAAGAACATTATTAGCCCCGCCCACCCACCCTGTCTTCATTTCGGTGATTAATTTTATCCGTTCTGAATGAAATGAATGATTATATACTCAGTAAAAATAAAATTAGTATTTAGAATGAGAAGACTGGGGGTGGGAGGGCTTAGTCCTTGACACAATAAAATTGCTTTTGGCAAATGACATACCTTCCAAGAAAATAGGGGGCGGGTGGGCGGGGCTAGTCCTTGATAAGGAAATACTGTCTTTGGCGAATGATATACTTTCCAAGAAAACAATGGCGGGTGGGCGGGGCTATCATTTTATAAGGTATGACTGATTTTGACATACAGAAATCATAAGATGAAGTATAATAAAACATAGGATGTTCTATTGGAAAAATGCGAAATATCGATATGTCAAAAATGTAACAATTAATATATTTTTTGACACATTAAGATTAAATTTTATTTAACAACAAAGTATCTACCTTTATTTATCTCGGCACAAAATATGTATTGCAAAAAAAAAAATTCAAGAAACTTGGAATAACCTGCATGGGAATTTAAAAAATATACTACAATTATAAACCTTCAATTGGAATATATCGAGTGCTCCGAAGAACTCGAAAAATTGGTTAAAACAAGCCCTGCATTAAACTTTTGAAAATATTAAACTTTAGTGTTGAAGAATTGACTTCGTAATTTTGATTTGTTCTAATGAACTGCATGTCTGAGAGAAATGAAATAAGTAGTTATTAATCATTTAATAATAATTTGCTGCAATATGTTCCACAACAACATTTTTGACAATTTTTTTTCGGAATTTTAAACTGTTTATTAAATTCACATTAATTCATATTGTTACGAAATAAACCCATACACCGGCCGAGTACGACGCCTATGTGTTTTCTAGTATGTGCGGCGATGATGGGTGACTCATGGTCGGTGACGGCGGCCGGGTGGTGTTCGCATAAATACAAGTCTGGAGCCGGCTACCGGAAATCTCGATTGCGGGGTCCAGAAATACCTAGAAGCGGCCTACGCGATCCATTCAGAGAAATGTATCGATTTAAATAGAGGCCATTGTCGGGAACGATTATTCAGTCAACAAGTCGAGCTGAGCGAAGACAGTCAAGTTTTCTACAAAATCGCTGTGTAATCCGTCGTGTAAATTTGAGTTATTGAGAAATGAATTGTTGAGTTTTACCCACGCCCATTTTAGCTCACCGATTATCGTAACAATATGCTTTATTAGTGAATCACATGTTTTTACGCATTCATTATGACACTATTAGTATCCGTGTGACAATATCTGAGGACAATACAAGTTTTTGTCAGCGGATCCTTAAATAAATTGGTACTAAAAGAATCTGATATTTCACCTCATACTCACTATGATGCAATGATTTTTAACAACTTTTAGGCAGTGTGATTTGTCAGATTTTAGTTTACAATTTATTTTTAGAACTAGTTACTGTGTGATCCTTAGTAGTACCAGAAACGCAATAGAAATGCAGAATATATGCGTGCAAAGTAGGATGTAAAATTTAAAAACATTTATAATAAATGAACAGCCATATTTCACTATGCATGAAATTAAAATTTATTAAGTTATTTGCATTTTGTTGTTGGTTAATTCTTGCATTAAACACAATTATGGCACAAAAAATATCTTATTTTCAAAATTACCTTAAATTTCATGGAACGTATGAAGTTAACTGAATATGAAGCAACAGTGCAGGCAAAGCAAATAGAAATACAATCAAGGAACTGACTAGAGTCTTCAAGTGTTGTTCTTTAGGAACAAACAAAAGACAATTTTTAAAGTTCTGATTCAGTGAACTTTAAACATAGGAAGTTTCTACATAAAATAAATCGTGAGGATTGTAGCTCCGTCGAATTTGCTTTACAAGGAAATATTCTTTTACAGGGAATTATATCTTTTGTTTCGTTATGTTAGCAAATTCGTATTACTTTAGCCCGAGTAGTTAGGTATTAAGTATAAACTGACTTCTATTAGTATAAGTAACTATTTGATAAAAACACATGATTTGCGCCACAAAAATATTGTTTTGACTAAACTTTACTAAACAATAATTATCGCGAAAATGGTCTTTTAGTTGATGCATGCATTGATTTATACTAAAAAATTAAATAAAAATCATTTGGCGAATTAAGTATATATGTTCTATGAAACAGATTCACTTTGATTACTCTTTTTCATAATTTGGTGCTTCTAACCAATATAAATTTGCATATAATCAGTTAAACACCTTTGTGTTAGAGTCGTATTCATACGGCTGCTTGGAAGTTTAAAAACAAAAAAATTCTTTGTTTCCCTCGGTCGTCGAACAAATTTATTCCTACGTCCCATTAAGTCTAAATTGCGAACACTCGTAATTTCAACACAAACTTCCTAATTGAATGAATCAGAGTTAGTTGAAGTAGTTGTTAAATCGAACCACTGCATTTGAAGCTCTATTATGTCCTGCATAAAAGGTTAACGACTTAGGAGAGAAGTGACTAAAAAGTTTATGGACCTTATAGTAGGACGGAAGCGCTGGATCAACAACAATCCTGTGACCCCAACAAGTGGGTTCTGGAGTATCCATCGCATCAGCATTTTCATCCTGGTGACTTTTGTCCACAAACCAATCCGGTGGGTGCGAATCCCTTCGGGAAAAACGTCGAAAACGAATTGCTGCCTGGAGGGATGCTGCCACTTGTCTTAACCGTCCTCGCACAACCGAAAACAGTCTGTTTTGTGGAACATTTTCCTGAAAATAAAAGATAAATAAGAGATATTATTCCGTTAAAAAAAGGACATCATCCAATTATTGTTTTTGGCAGCAATTTAAAGTATATCGGTTTAAAGAATTTAGTATTATTAATTAAGAAATATGCAAATATGATTTTTGCTATCCAATACAATGGATTTTAGCTTTTCTTGGGGTGCGACGAAGCTCGAAGCTACATTAAATTAATTTTCTTTTATCTTTTAAGTAGTTACCGTTGGCAAAGCTAACGCTTAGTTCCAATTATTAATGAAACGCTAATCTTGAAAGTGTTTCAGACTTTATATGAAAAGAGCAATTTTGCTCCAAATTCGGATTTTTAATTTATCTTATGAAAACATTAGGGATGAAAAATAGTAGGTATAATACATTTAATATAATCCTTCAGTAACCAGAGAGTACGGAGCTAAAATAATAATTGATGGTGGTTAATGCTTATTTGAAAGCAAAGTGTAATTACGGGGTGAAATACTAAGTAGTAATGTATAGGTGAACTGCTCGTGTAGAAAATTTTCCAGTTAAGATTTTTTTATTTTTAAATTCAGTTAAAACTTGTTTAAATTTGATATTGATTTATTGGATGTATAATTTAAATGATTACAAGTGGAAGTTAAATGCGATTTAACACCATCCATCTAGTGAAGATGACGAAGATGAGCATAGCATTAATGAAATTGAAGTTAGCGGTTCCTCCTTTCCTCATAATTCTGATTACCGTAGCATGGCGTGATTCATTCATTTGCAAATATGGTTTTGAAGATGAAATGTCATTGCGCCTTGTTATTTTAATTAATTGTTCCACATAAATCGAACCGTTGCTAAAAATGTGATAGCAGAACAGTGAAATGGACCGTTATGATTTTTTGTTTTTTACGTCATTTGTCCGCATGTCTTTGTACGTCCTTTGGCATTAGTTTTTCCTTTGTAAGGATTAGATGCTAAAACATGACCTTTCAGATTTTACGTAGGTGGGATTTACGCAACAATTTTCCATATACGCATGCGGTACGTTTATTTGAATCTTGTTATGAACGCCGTTTTTTTCTCTAATCCTCCTTGTTTTATTAATCAGTGATAAAATGAGTTTCTACGTAGAATCCTAGATTATTTAATATCTTTTTGAAATAGCGACGCTAACACAACACTTTCCTTATTCCTAGCGAGCAATAAAAACACAATCAAATATAGCTATGGATTTTAGAAGATTTGTCTGTGAGGGAATTTTTGTCTTGTCAGACTACCGTCAGATTGCAAGTTGTCAACATTGAACTTTTTAAAATATCGAAAATTGTAGGTGTATTTACAAAATAAATGTTTTCTGTTACTTGTCAACCACAACATACTTTTTATATTTAGATACTATATTCTATATTGACTTTAAACGGACTAAAATAATAATTACAAAATTTTCAAGTTTTCTCTGCACTCGTAAATAGACGCTTTGCAACTGCACTTATGTACGTCATTCCGATGGTAATCTTGGCCGCAGGTCAAGGATCGATGTCAATCGACGTCTAACATTTATAGAAAACTCGTAGCTCTTTAGGATATCATAACAGGTTGACGTCAGTGGTGACGATTTGTTTTTACAAATTGTTGCAGTTATTAATAAAATGCATCCTTTTCTGTAACTGTTATTAAAAACTGGCATTGTCTCTTTAAGCTTTTTATACAGATTTATTAATATCTGACAAGAATTCACGCCCAGATGCAGTCATTGTTGCTTTAAACGACGGTATAGAAATGAATGCAGATTTCCCGTTTTCCGTCTCTTTGTATCTTCCTCTCTTTGTGATTTGCGGTTTGACTACTGACAATACTTTGAAGGAGGAATTTCTGAGATTGCTGCACTGGTTAATCTGAAGTTTTCAGTGTAGCAGAAGCTTATAAATCCCGCAAAATCGTAATTAAAATTTATTTACGTATTTCTCACAAAAATGTCAAATTGATATAGTATACATAATCACGTCGTCTTAAATTGTATCAAATAAATAATGCGACCCAGATCAATTCGAATTAAGCAATATGTTTTATTCCTGCTTATAATAATAAGCAAGAATGTAATACTAAATGGGTTTTAAATTGTATAAAATAACATAGTCTTACACGTGTAGTTTATGTATCCGAGTGAGTTTTTACTTGAAACGTCCAAATTTTTGGAAAAAATTCAAAATTAAATGCTTTGAAATCTTGCAGATGTTTTAAAGTTATCATAAGCTCTGTAAATTTTTAATTAAAATATATTTGCCTATCCTCAAAAAATTGATGACGCCACCTCAAAATCTTGTGGAATAAATCCTATCTAAAATGTGCGAAATATGATATGCTAGTAATTGTCGTTGCATTAATATTTTTTAGATTTGCTTATACAGGGTGACTCAAAAAAATTAATGAATGACTCAATTTGTTTTGATGAATAAATCAGGAACTGCAAAAACGAACGCTTTGGAATCTTGCAAACTTTATTGTAAGCATGGTAATTTAAAAAAAAAATGTATCTGTTTATTCCTCCCAAAAAATCGATGACGTCATCTCAAAATGTTACTAATGTTCATATTTTTTGGATTAACTTATGCAGGTAGCTTAAAAAATGAATTAATGAATCAATTTATTTTATTGATTAAATCAGGAACGAAAATTTGGTATAGTATTACACTGCACCAATCTAAGTTGACATATGTGTCCACAAAATTTTTAAAGTAAAAACTCATTTGAAACATACACGTATCAGCTTCTTTGCATTTACTTTAACATTACATATTTATTATAGGGTTTCTCATAAAAAGTAAAATTCGCAAAATCAAATTTCATAATTTTTCGAAAATACTGGATGTCATTTCATTGTACTTCAGGGGCGAGGAAAATTCTGTTGAAACAACCTTCGACCAGTTTTTTAATATTGATAATATCGACCATTTTCATCATTTGTTTTAGAAAGGATGTATTCAATTTCCCTGAAACCTCGGGGACACAGGCCCTGTCTCAAGAAAATGTGTGATTTATTTATTTCGATATCTGAAAACCTACGTCTAATTTTCTTAAAATTCTGAGAACATTAATTAATCTTTTGAAAAATAATCTAATATGCATGGGTTTTGTTTCTGTGGTGAGGAAAACTCTATATAAATAGTTCTAAAGATTTTTGAAGATTAATTATAATTAATCTTTAAATAATTATTTAAAATATGTATTATGTAAAAATAAAAATTAAATCGACTTTTTCAGGAAATGGCCGATTTAATTTTCCTAAACTTTTCAAAACACATTTGGGTGATCTTTAGTGTTTTATTATACACAAAAATATCAAGATTAATAAAACTTAGAAGTCTAATTAGAAATTTATGTTGTATATAAATGAAATTAAAAGATTCTTTTACTTCGGTTAATTTTGTCATGTTTTGTAATCGAGTCCACCGGACGACTGGCTACTTTCATGTTTTCTCGATATTTAATGACCCCTAGAATAGAAAAAAAAAAAAAGTTCCCGTCTGTCTCTTTGGGGTCTGGCGTCTGTCGTTTGCCATCTGTCTACCGTGTGTTCGCATCTGTGTCCATTTTCATTAAACAGATAATCTAAACTACTGGGCAGATTGTTGTCACATTTTGTATGTATAGTAGGAATATCGTGGAGATGGTAAAATGCTTTGTTTGATATTCCCTATCCCACATAAGATCATCCTCAACATTTACAATACTAAGTGTTACTTAAATTTTTCAAAATAACATACTCCTCTACTTTTAGTTTATGAATCCGTATTGAGTTTTTAACCTAGGCATCTAGATTTTTGGAAAAAAATCAAGATGGTCTAACAACATTTTGCAGCTTAACTTTAAACCGAGAGTTCTGAAATCTTGCAAACATTTTATGGTTATCGTAAGCATAGTAAACAGTTAATCAAAATTTATCCGTTTATTTTCTTCCAAAAAAATTGAACACGTCATCTCAAAACTATACCTAAAATATGCACAGTATTAGTAATTTATGGTTGTGGTTTATCAATGCATTCATGTTTTTAGAATTACTTATACAGGGTGACTCAAAAAGAAATTAATGTGGAGACATGTTTTATTGCCCATTCTATTTTCCCGAAAATTTGAGGATATAGTATTCTGATCAACAGCATTACACTGCACCGATTCAAATTGATTGCTTCATTGCCTGTACTTTAACAACCCACACAAATATTAATTTTAGCTCGTGGGGATCATCTTAAAAAAATAAAATTCTTAAAGTTAAATTTTATCATTTTTCTGCATTTGTTCGATTGGACCTTAGGGACGAGGAAAGTTGTGTCGAAATAACTTTTGTACAATTTTTCAGTGTCACAGAATGTTGTGTTTTACTTTAAGGACAAATCATAGTCACTTTTACGACACAACGTATAGCCATATTACAGACATTCATATTTCTATAATATAATTTAGTTCGGTGCATGCTTGTTTGCGGAAATGAAATCATTCGAATCAATTATTTATGCATATAATATTATTAATATAATTTTTAATAGTCATAAACGAACAGCAAACATTCGTTATTTGAAAACATGGTATTTATTTACTCCTCTGATCAATTTTAATTCATTAACTGCTTGAAATACTGTATATCGAGTTTGACATTCGTTTTTCTGGAGAATATGTTGACCAACTCTTTTAAAGTCCCTACTCATTACAATGAGTGAGTTATAATGTATATACAAATAAAGATTATTTTAAATGTCATGTTTTTGTGTGAGGTAGACGTTGAAAAGCAGCCATTTTTAATATGCTGTTATTTATTTAATGCAAAAATGTATAAATATTAATCGATTATTATTCATTATACATGAATATTAATTTTCAATCTTTAACAGTTCTGTAATTATGCAATGAAGCAAATCATGGCAGAATATTTTAAAATACTAAAAATTAAAAAAAAACTAAAAAAAGAATCGTTCCTGGTAAATAGTTCGAACACATTTTATAAATTGGAACAAAGTACGAAT